ACGCTCTGTATACGATTTTAACGCCCTGTGAGTTCGGACACTTTTTAACGCAGACCCGACGTCCATTTATTTGTAAGTCAATGAGGTATGCACGTTCATTCCGTAGTTAGGGCAGCTCCTTTCTTTTATTTTTTTCCGTCCTCTAAGGTTACTTTAGATTGCCTGTTTGTTTGTATATTTTGATCTTAGAACATATAGGACTGGAGGCGTCATTGATAGGCAGTCCCCTCTGCACAAAACAACCATCGCACAATAAACACTACTTTCAAATCGATGTTTTTTTTTCTATCGAATTCACCGCGTCAAGTGCTCCATGAAATATGTCGTCTCGTGACATACAAAGTTCCAAAAAATCTCTGCTACATCCAGTCTAGCCAAGGATGGAATTGTATTCCATTGATACGTCTATTTTTTACATTACTTACTGATTTTCTATTTTAACACATTTTTTTCACAATGATCACATTGATTAAATTTATCGATTACATAGAAAGTATTTGTAAACATTCGAACATTTGACATAAGCATGCCTATGAAGTTCCTTAATTACTGACACGCAACCACAGACAAAAAATGCAATACTTCATGAACGCTGTTTTTTCGTTATAGAGAAGCGAACGTGCTTTTTAGCTCCGATTTTTATCGATAGATTATGTAACGAAGTTTATTCAAATTGATTTCTCCGTTGTATTGTATATTAAATAATAATGTAATAAATTTTAAATATTGAAAATAAATTGTAATTGTTTTAATATAAATCATGCCGTACTGTAAGAAAAAAGAAAAATAAAAATTAAATACACGAGTACATACTTACATACAATGCACATAAATTACAAAAACAATATAAATAACCAAATAGTTAGCTGTCCTTATTATACACAAGATATGAGCAAAAGACAGAAAGAGACCCGTTACGTCAATTTCAATTTTCGAACCACAAGCGATTGAAGTATTTAGATTTAGAAGAAAGAAACTATAAAGTTGATTTAACGTTAATCTTATTTTTTAAATGACTTTTTATTAAATGTTAGTAATAAATAACTAACAAAATATTGTTGTGTCCATTTTACTGTTTGGAGACTTGCCCGAAATAATGTTTGCTCGAATTTTTGTAATCCCAAATGTATTTTTTTAGATTATTTTAGGAATATTACAAAACAAACTAACTTAATCTTAGGAAATGAAACTATTTTTCCGGATTTAAATCGCGTATATTTGTTTTTTCAAACAAACCGACGTTTCGGGCCCTTTACAGGTCCCATGGTCACGGTTGACTGATATATATATATATATATCAGTCAACCGTGTGGATAGTTTCATTTCCTATGTGTAACAATCGCGAAAACCTAAGAACTCGATAACTTAATCTTTTTTTGTAATAAGCAACCAAAATCCCCTGAAAGTATAACGGTTTTGTTATACATCGGTTTTCGAGATTATGAAACTTTGAGTTTACGTTTAGTTGGAATCTATAAATTCGAAACATCGATAACTTCTTACAGCACGTCAGAACTACTAACAGAAGGATACTATTTTCACATTTATAATATTTGTATGTACCTACATATCAGCACAACTCTTATTACTTGAAATGAATTCGTATAAAATTCAACATAATACCTACTATAAAATTTAATTAATATTGACATTAAGACTACTCCATTACTCTTGTGTTCAAGTAGTTTTCACTAGAAGCTAAATATGGTGCATTTTGTTATTTCGAGTAGAAGCTGAATATGGATGATTTTTGGGCTATTTAATTGTGGCAAACAAAAACTTCCGCGAACTTCGGCGTGATAGCATTTTTATTTTGGCATTAATTAACGCCATCCACAAATTCTGCGTAAAATTTATCTATAAGTTGGCACTTGGTTCCTCGTAAAAAAAAATAGATGTCTCTGTAAATCAGTCTGCTTTGCAACAGATTTTGTAAAACATTAATTTTATAAAATACACAATATCCGTTTATTTTTATGGTTTCATAATTCTTATTTGAAATTTAAATGACTGTTTGAAATACTACATCACAATTTGCCTATAACAATTTCACAATTGCATTTCGAAAAGTTCCGTTTTCGATCAACTTTTTATGGACTATTATGTTATGGTTTCTAAAATTAATGATAATTAGCTAAACGAGACAATTGCGAATCTTGTAAAATTATTATACTAATTATAGTATTCACGAAGATTATCTTTACACCTTTGTAATGTATAACATTTTAAATTAATGTTCAACCAAGTGAGTCAAACAATACTGTTCTGTGATTGGCTGATATTTTGGT